CTGTTGGAACTAAAATAATAAAAAAATAATTTCCATATAATGGCTTACATAGTGTATAGGAAATCGAAGGCTAATATGTGGAAATTGTTTTATTCTTTTAGTAAATTGAAGTCGGCTTTACATTTTCACACTATTGAGTATATTATAATATGTATATGTTCTAATTGAAAAATATGTATTGTATAAAATATATATCATTTGATAAATCTTTATTCTGTTTCATAATGTACACATTATTCATCAATTTGACAATTTCATTAATGTCGGCGGGATTAGTGTTGCCAGGTCTAGCAAGTAAAATTTCGGGACGGAAGGTAAAAATAATCGGGGATTTGGTTTTCATATCCGGACAATTACAATGACTACCAAATATAGGTTTCTTTGTAGCCTTTTTGTGCTTTATTGAGAGCCGTGGTAGCTCAGATGCTCAACGCTCACTGTAAATATCACAGTATGCGAGTAATGCGAGAAATTGTGACTATAACTTTACTTTTGTGCTTTATAATTATTATTCGGGTCAGATCTCATAAACGAATAACTTTTCATCCAAGCATCGTTAAAACTGTTTTTTTTTAATTTTAGGCAAATAAAACATTTTTGAACTATTTGTTTTTTTTTTTGCAGTCCCTGAATTTTTCAAATCACTCATTTTAATATAATTCTGTTTAAAACTTTTGTGGTTTTTTTTCGAATGGTGAGACAATGTCGTAGTAAAAATATTTTAATGTGGTAGTAGCTAACTGATGTAATCATTTTTGCTGTCAAAATTATGGATTAAAGTATAAAATAAGGTTAGTGAAAATCGGGACATTTGGCGTCCCGATCATGGGTGAATCAGGGCGTGTTACTAGACCCTTGAAAATCGGGACGTCCCGCGCAAATCAGGACACCTGGCAACACTAGCGGGCTCATATGTTCAAGCACGGCTCATATGTTTTATATCTGGGGGCACGGTAGTGCCCCCGCCAAGTCGAGCAAAACAGCGGCACGGCCGTATCATCATTGCGAGACTTGGTTATTTTACAAGTTATGTTTTTGATGGCATGTCTTTGTTTAATCATAACGTTATCTCCACATTAGGAATTTTTCCTAAGTACATCGTGGGGGCAGTTTAAATACATTAATTTTACAAGGACATACATCCAGACCTGGAACAATTATTTGTAGGTAATACAAATTTTTGTTCCATGTGGGATTCGAACCCGCGGCGCTCAGTGCTACAACTCATTACCAAGTCACTCCGCCACGGAACCAAAGGTGAAAGCCAACGAGTTTGTATTTTTACTTGATCCGAATTGCTTACGTTCATTTCTCATTTCTAAAAAAATATATATGAAATGAAAATTTGCCACCATTACATCATTTAATATTTAAATATTACAATTTCATGAACATATTTCAAAATTACTTACTACCAAAAATATCGCTTATAAAAGTCTCAATCGTTAAAATACTCGATGGTGCTATAGGTATCTAGTTATAGTATAGTGTACTATAGCCCTATCGGTGTATCAACACAATCGCGCGGTGTCGGTGAGAAAAAGTAATACGTCCTGCCGTTGGGACACGGTAATTTTATCTATACAGTATTCCAACTTCATACAAACGGACGAAGCGAGAGCTATACCTACGCGCCTCGATCTCGGCATGCGCTCGGCATGCAGACAGTCGTGACTGTGCCGCAGTGATGATTTTGTGGAATATATATAAAAATAGAGGAAATAAATAATAGAAGAGAAATAAATAAATAATAAATCCGAACTTCATTTAAAACCAAACATATAAATTGTAAAATATTTTTTACTTGGTTATAAAATATAGATACCTCTATAACCAAGTAAAAGATATTTTTTTCTCCACCTTGTCCATGTTCCATGTCCCTAAACAGCTTTATATTTGAGTGCGGATTTTTTATACTTAAAAATTTAATAATAAAGCATTTCGTACGTCTCAGCCGAGGCGCAAATATTTTTCGGTCGCAAATTCATAAGACCGATTTGTTATTCAAACATAAACGTGGTTTTTTTAATTATTCACCAATCAAAAAACGACACGCATTTTTATTGAAAACTTCCTATTCAATTCACAAAGTACCTATTATATTTGTTTATATAAAAAAAGTATATCTACAATCATAAAACTAAATGGAAACACAAAGTAGGCAAATGTAAATGCTGGAGCCCCATTGATTTAGTATTGTATAACTCAATGGGCAGCCCTATCACATGTTTACGTACCGCGCTGCTGTAGGTATTTATTTCAAATTTAATTTATTTCAAAGATACGGCCGAGTTACAATACTGTATAGATAATATTACAGTGGTTGGGATTACCCGGAGCGTACTGAACATAGACAAACACTATATACTTATACCAGGAATAGATGCGCCACTCACATTTCAGTTGTCGATTGAGTGTACCGTGTACGCTAGATGCCGCTGTATTCTCTTAGTACATCGCGGCTTGCGGTAGTTACCACTAGATGGCGTATTTTGTCAATGACTATATTGATATTTATGAAATAAGCAGTTTTATTATCAATGTTTATGTATGCATTCTACCAGATAATTATTGGATATGTACAATAATTATCTTAAATCTCTAAATAGTATTTTGTAGATAACATTAACACTAATAAAACTTAGCCTATTTCACAAAAGATTTTTGTAATATTAATATGAAAGACGGAAAGTAATTTTAATTATTTATTTATTTTCTTTTATGAATTTTATAATATTTGAAAGCTTGAGCTTTAACATTATCATTTTCACAATCGTACTAACAATTTTCCCTTTAGCAGCCCATTAACATTGGTGCACCAACTGTGAACAACCACATTTATTGTTAAATTTAACAAATAATCATAAAGCCTCTTATTATGATTTTCACAGCAGAGGAATGAAAAGTTGCAAAATATTTTAGTTTTCTGAATTATCGTATCCTTAATATTCTTTATTTGTGGTTCTTCAATCAATTGCGTTTGGATTATAAGGTAAACTTCACCTGTGAATGAACACAGCGCCTCGCCGGATATTTACATGACTTTTTTGTACAGTCCCTTTCTAAAATATAATCATATTGAGTCGGAGGTGTTGTGCTTAACAATTGCATTTTACACACGTTACAATTTTTACATATATTTTTTATACACTTATGCACTAAATATCCAGCAACATAAAGTTTAGCTTCCTTAATAGTTAAATTGATGGGTTCTGAATTCTTATTTTGTCCAAACAAATATATTAAAGAATCCACATTTATATTTGCATCTGGTTTCTCTCCTGTTTCTATTTTTTGCAAATTAATTAAACATTTTAGTGGCTTTACTATTTTGTTATTGTTACGTTCACAGTTTGCACTAATTGAATGAGGGGAAGTTAAATTATTCACTAAGTTTTATATGCTCTAGTAAATTGGCAGCATGTTGGTGATACATTTCGAATCCCATTGCTCCTGATACTGGAAAAGAAATTTTCCAGTGGATCCTGGTTCAGGTTTCTCATTAATAAGCTGCTTATACTGTGTTTAGCGTTTAAATAAGAAAACATTTCTTTTACTACATGGATATTATGTATCCAATTTTGAATTGATGGAACCTTTACAAATTTTGTAGCCCCATCTTTATTTACTTCATAACCAATAGAGTTCAGTATAGGTAAAGCTTCATCCCAGAGCTTAAAATGCAGCGAGTTTTTTCTCAATGCTGCTTTGTATAGTTTTGCACTGTCTTGGTAACAATGACCATTGAAAGAGTCAAATAACTTATCAACTAGTAGCAGCAGATCAGCAGTTGCGAGACATTATTTTGGCAATAGATTATGATCTGAAAAAGAAAACATTATTATTTACTAAAAATTTTAAGATTTTTACTATTCCCTATTATAATGTGAAGCTGTAGTGGCAATGAATCAGTCATATAGCTCGAAGAACCGACGACCGATGGGGACGAAAGGTTCTCGAGTGGCAGCCTTGTATTGGTAGGGGAAATGTAGAGCGGCCCCGAACTAGATGGAGTGACGACCTAGTAAGACATACAGGAAGTCGATGTATGCAGATAGCTTAAGACCGTACTTTGTTTTATCATTTGAGAGGTTGGGGAATGCCTATGTTCACCTGTGGACTTGTGAAGGGCTGTAATGACGATGATGATTAATATCCATACTAGTATTATAAATGTGTCTTTATATATGTCTGTTACCTTTTCATGGCCATCCAATTGAACGATTTTGGCGAAATTTGGTACAGAGATAGCTTAGATTTTTTTTTGACAGAAAACCAGAGAGCTCTCTGAATTTTAAAAATCTAAATCCACATAGATGGAATCGCTGGCATCATTTAGTACAGAAATAAAAATACAAACTTGCTAAGAAGCGTAAAGCTGCAGATACCCGTTGACTGAAAACTTGAGCTGCATATTTCACTTTCATTTTAGGAACTTTGTCCTTGTTGACGTGTATCTCCATTAATTTGTTCACCAAGCGAATGTCATGTTCTCCCACATCAATGTCAAGTAACATTCATAAATGATTCCATTGTGTAACCTTTGTTTCTCCGTTTTGGGTGTATTTTAAATGTTTGGTCATTAGGTTAAGAACTTCTTAATCCCTTGAGTACATGTGGAGGATCAAAAATTGGAAAGATTTTGCTGTCATCAATTTCAAAAGCCAAACTTTTCCATTCAGTGCCATTACAAAGGTATTTTTCTTTTGTTTCATTAAGAAGATTTTTCATATTTGTTGGGGATTGGTCACAGAACAAGAAGAAACAAGAGAGAACTTTCATATTTGTTGGGGATTGGTCACAGATTGTAGACACAATTTTTAATTCTACACTGTTTGTCTCTCTTATTCTCAACTCTGGCAGAATGTAAAGCAAATCGGTTGTTTAAATTTTCCGTTAAGACTTTTCAGTATAAATACTAATGCATGATCAGCAATTTTTGAGGTTCTATGTCCCCCAAAATCTTCAAAACCAATAATTTCATCCAGGGATTTTTGATATTAAAGTCCTGGAGTCAATGCCACCTCATCAAAAATTAATGTACACAGCTTTTTTTCATCAGGCAACTTTTTCACAGTTTTAGCTAATTGTTTCATTATGGTCTCGTTTATGCCTGTAGTTAAAGAGATGCTGCTTAACATTTTTTGCATGGTTCTTTTAGAAGGCAAAACAAAAATCCTTTGCAAGAAGTTGTATGTTTTTTGACTTTGCTTGTATATAGTCACATATAAAAATTTCTCTTTCATGCTGAATCTCCTACCTCTTGGCATTTTTGATAACTTTTTAAGTTGCATATTTACCAATATTGCACCTGGTTCAAGAAGGTTTTCTACAGCATTTAAAAATGCCTGACTCCGTGACAATTTTTTTGCCTGACGAACCCTCTCATTCAATGTCTTACATTTACTTTTTAATTTCAGAATTCGAGCTTTTAAAGTTTACAATCCTTTGGAACATTTTTGTGTTCGAGTGTTAACTGAAAATAGAAAAAAAATATATTACAATATTTATAATTTTTTTTGGTACTTATTAAACTGACTTCTATTTAATAGCATTATTCTCCTTTATAAATCTCTACATTGTCCTCTGGAATTGCTGTGGTAGAGCTATATTATGGTTGTAGCATGAATGGGTCGGTTCGACCGGAGAAGGACCACTCTCTCACAGAATACTAGCGTAAAATAGCAGCTTAACGGTGCTGTGTTTCATATGGTGAGTGTAGAGAACCGGAGACCCTTTTTACTGGAAATGAGGCGTTCCATCTTAGTCCTCATGGGTGACAATGCATCTGCATTTTCATTTATAATAGAGGATAGATGTAGATGTCCATGGACCGCAGCAACCACTTACCATCAAGTGAACTGTGTGCTCGTTTGTCACCCTTATCCTATAAACAATAAAAATTGTTAAGTTAGCCATCACCAACGCGTATCTGAAACATACTATCCTTAGCCACCATTCGATGTAAGCTACTGTAAATACAACTCAGCATGGTAGTTATTTTTTAGTATCTACATTTGTATATTCAAGCAGTAACTTTTTTTACATGGAGAAATGTAAAAAAATGATGTTCCAACATTCACTACCAGGACTTCTCCCCTTTTCCTTCTCAGAAAAGCTGCATTAAGAACACAGGGCGCGTCTTCCTCCATGGCTTCTAACTCCCCTAGCGTAACGGAACCCCCACCCTCCCGGGTCCGACACGCAATAATCAAACATGGTATATACCTAGCTGAAATAAAATATTACTATTTTTAAAATATTTACCTCTAGGAAGTAGTTTTTGTTTCGGATATGGCAACTTGAAAGGCTCTAAGTTGTCTCCTATTTGCATATCAATATACATTTCAGTCTCAACAGAAGATGAAGGTTGAAGCACTATTGGCGAAGTTGAAGCTAAAAAATTAAAACAGTAAATTTGTTTTAAGTTGTACTATCAAATAAGCCCTTTGAATAAATATGACCCTATTATATTTATATATCAAACTAGCTGTAACCGGTGCGTTGCTGCCACAGAAGAAATAATTGTGAAATAATATTGTTTTATATGTGGAAGAGTTATATTGTTTAATTAGGAATGATAATATATTCATTGTAGTTGAATGCTATATCTTTAAAATAAAGAAGAACAGTCATATGTGACTCAGACCCGACAGACATCCAGCGGCAGTAGAGGTCAGAAACAATAATACTTTAATCAGGTGCAAAATTCATTCACAACATGTTACGACAAAATGTTATATTATTTTTGTTATATTATGCAGCTGAATTATGTAGTTTAAAAATTATATAATTCAGCTGCATCTCCAGGTCACCTAGAAACATCCCATAGCTATTTTAACGTCATTTAGTTGCATACATTTACAAATTTTGTAGATAAATAGCCATTTTGTATTTTTTTAGACTAACGCCTGAACAAAAACATAAGGCGATATTTTGGTGTTAGCCATTGATTTCCAATATAAAAAATATATATTAAACTATATAAAAAAAACTGATGTCTCGTTTCTGTCGGGCCTGTTTTTTTTCTATGGGGTGTGACTGTTCTTCTTTGCCAGTGCAATACACGTGCCACCTACTGTAAATTAATTGCACTATTTGTACAACCTTCGCACAAGTGCAAGCAATAAGTTGACAAAATTTCAGCACAATCTGATGAACAGTATGGCTGCACATAAAATATGAACAAATAAACATTAATTTTTATATATAAGATAACCCTTATTTTGAGAGGTGAGCCATGAGTTGAGATAATGACAATGATCTAATAAGTGTTAGCTAGCTAATGTTGAAACATTATTACAAGAGCTTGCTGAAACCTTAATTAACTTCTACCAACAAAAGAACAATGTGCATATCAATATAACCCCTCAATCAAAAGTATCAATAAATTAACAATTTTATTTATATACATTAACAAATTTAAAAATATATGTATATGTATAATATATAATACCGCAAGGAGTAGGACTATATGATAATTAAGTTTCTAGTTTTAGTTTTTTTTACTATTATTATAGTTTTTAATATTGTATATTTTAAAATATCAATAATATATATAATATAAAGTCAGGAAAAAAGTTTCTTCGTATTTTATACACAAATTCAAGACAAAGTTTTTTTTTCAAAGTTTAATTACATTTAATTATAACATATATGTGCCATTTTGTTTGATAACTTGTAGCCATCTTGTAGGTACTGACATAATCCCATTGCTGTAGAAATTTGGGATTTTTGATTAAAAAAATGCCACAAGTAGTTTTGACAATCCTCTCTTGAGCTACATTTAAGCTACATTTTAGCCAAATCTGTTCAACTGTTGCACTGTGAAGGAGTAACAAACATCCGAACTTTCATATTTATTATAATAGCGATTTGTAGTTTTTTATTAGTAGCTATTTTTATATGTGGTAGGGCCATGCTGGAGCTATATTATGGTTGTAGCACGAATGGGTCGGCTCGACCGGGGAAGGACTACGCCTTTCTCAGAATACCAGCGTAAAATAGCAGTTTAATGCTGCTGTTTCGTATGGTGAGTGTAGAGAACTGGAGACCCTTTTTACTGGAAACGAGGAATTCCATCTTAGTCCTCATGGGTGACAACGCATCTGCATTTTGATTCATAATCGAAGATAGATGTAGATGTCTATGGGCCACAGCAACCACTTACCATCAGGTGGACTGTGTGCTCGTTTGTCACCCTATCATATAAAAAAAAAGCTTCACAAAGGCTAGTTTTTATCTCAGAAGTTTAGTTAGAAGGCCAGTTTATTCCTACAGGAATCAAAAATACCTTAATCCATGCATATCACGTTGCAGGCTTCATCTTGATGTTTAATAATTATATAACAATGTAAGCAAACATTTGGTACAAACTATAAATGACTGAAAATTTATTTACTTTTCATATTTCTGTCATGCTTGTTATTTAGAGAAGTATAAAATGCCTTGAGCAAGTTAGAGGTACTTACATAAGTTCAAAGTTGGTACTGCATTTCTGGTAAGTCGTTTACTTGCAGAACGGTAAAATTCCTCAAAGTGACAATCACATATTCTTATATTGTTAAAAATGAACGAATCTCCTTTTGTTTTTACATCTTCATTCAAAACCATTTTCCACTGTTCGAATTTTTCCAAATTTGGGTGTTCTGGTTTCGGGAATTGGTGAGAAGGACCTGAAACTTTTATATAGTAAGTTTTTATTGACACAAGACACGATAAATTGAATACCAATTTGCTACTAGTATGGTAAGGAATATTTTAGGGTTCCACAAGCACTGTTGGGGAACTCTTATTTAATTTTCGAACTTCAAAGATTAATGATCATACCTTCAGTCGCACATCCAAAATAACACTTTATTGCTGATTTTGTCGGCATTTTATACAAGTTGCGGTAAACAAAGTCCAGTAGTGAAAAGCAGGGTTGATAAGTTGGCAGCGGCAGAGTCCAGTTGGCAAGAGCAGGGTCAATCGTCAAAAGCAGGTAACACGGGCACAGGGGATAAATCAGGTCAAACGTTCGAAGAAGATACAACAAAAACAAGAAACAAGCGCAAACCAGGTCCAGAATTTTCAAATAACACAATAACGTAACTTCGCAAGCAAGAGCACGATAACGGAATTTATTTGAAAGAACTGTAAACAAAGTAGAATACATTTACGTGTACGTTAGTACGGTTAGTACTCTTATTAGTTTGTGTCACGGCATAGAATCTTAGAACAATAAAATTAGCCCTTATTTTCAACCATAGATTGAAACCGGTAGTATGGAAAATGACATTTCTTATTACCACAGATTGAGTTCCAAACTTCCATAACTTTTATTCACAGAGAACAGAGACCATTAAGAGGATATCGTATAGGAACAGGATACTCCTTTCATTATTTTCAGTTTATACTACTTCCTATTTATAAAAAAGTACTCTGTGGTTTATACAAAGATACTCTGTATTCATAATTTCAAATTTTCAATTTCATTACAGTTTGTTGGAGTTTTGGAGATTTGGATTTGATCGAATGAAATTACTTTGAAGTGTTAAAATTCCATGCTTATCTTCTCACGTTAAAAATTGTGTACTCATCATGAAGAATGCTTGTTGTGTTTCGCATTGCAAAAGCAAGCGTCATAATGTAAATTACATTGTTTTCCAAAGACTGAGCTAAGACTCAAGTGTGTGGAAAAAATAAATTGTGAAAAAAGCAGCTCATTGCAGAAGAGCTACATAATTTTTTGTGTGTCGTAAGCACTTCGGTTCGAGTTGGTTTGTTACCGGTAGTTTGCTTCTTCACCATTTTGCCTTACCACCTTATCTACGGCTGACAAAATAAATACTGGAATACCTGCTCAGGAAATGGACAACTATGGTAATCTACTTATTTTTCTATTAGGGACATTTGCTTGATATCACCTAAGTCTTTGTATTATAGAAAGTAAAGCAGCTTTGTAATTTTCTGATATTTAAGTAAACAATTTTAAGACATTATCAACTAATATTTGTTGTCTTATGTCAGTAACATCTTTAGATCAAGATTGTTTCTCTGAATAAGAAAGTATCTTATATAACTTATTTTTTTTTATAAAAATTTAAATTTTTTGCAATTTTGGTCCAGTTTTCTAGATACATTAACTGCATAAATAACTTTGTAATCCCATATAAATAAAGGATTACAAAATTACATTTGCAGTAAAACAATCAGTGTACCTGTATATGTATAATATAATGGAATAATAGGTGTAGATAGGTACTTTGTTGGTATTCAAGAAGTAGATGGTACCGGAAAGGAAAAAAGTAGGGCTATATACAAAAAGAAATGAGATGCCATCAAAAACATAACATGTAAAAGAAACCAAGTCTCGTAACTCAGTTCTTCTACCGTAAAAAGTTGTGTGAACCAAGTCGGTTAATTTATTCAGTCCTTACTTACTTAGGGTCCTTCTGTCTTAAGTTATTGCGTAATTAGCCAACCTAACATCTTATGTTGGCCATATCATATCAGCGCTAAGTCCGCGTCGGGTGAGGGATAATGAAGCGTAGCGGCGCTTTTAGGCTCTCTTTACGCTTCAAAAATGCCTCGTTAGCCTTATCAGTCCAGTTAATTAAAGTTTTATCGCGCTTTTAGTACTATGCAAATACGCGTTAAGTTCTGCCTGATAGTCGGCCGCCTTAGGAATATGAGACCGAGTAAAAATTCAACATACCTAAGAATCGATAAGAAAAAATGCAGTTAAACACATTTTCTAAACTAAAAGGCAGTTAAGTGTAAATAACTGCTTTATTCCTTAGTTGCAGTCATGCTAGGCTATACCTAATAATATGCTAAAAAGCGGTAAACACTGGTAGTAGAAGCTAAAATACGGCTAAAAACACTTAACTGTTTTCAAGCGTAGAATTTAAACAATATATTAAAATCACATACTTCCCAAAAAAGCATTCACTGCTTTTTAGTGTATGATAAACTTTTGAATTATATTTTTAACAATATTTAAACAGCGGCAAAGTGAATGTGCTACTCTAAAAAGCGTCTAAGTGTAAGTTTAGCAATCGATGTGTACGTGAAGAATTTAGATCAGCAAGTTTTAAGAGTTAAAAAAAGGTATCATCAGAGCTCTTTTCCGAGTGCGTCAGAGTTACATTCTTTGGTTTGGGTTTTGATGTAGAAAACTGTATAATAGTTCTCCGAAAAAATGTGTCTTTTCTGATAAAAAGGACTTTAAAACTCAATTTTCCCATTAAATTGCAACTAAATTGCGAGGAAGAAATTTAATAGAATTTAAAGCAAATAAAATAGTTATATTTATTTTTAAAATAAAACTAGTTTTTACTGATTTTATCGCGTATATTAACTTTTTTATATTCCCGACGTTTCGAGCACTTTACATCAACTATGGTCACGGGAGGGACTGGGTCTTCGGCGTCCCGATGTAATAGTTACCCGGGGTTATTTACAGACTAAAATTTATTTATTTATTTATTTATTTATATTTCCTACTAACATCTACCATTACAGGGAAAACCTAAATCGATAAATGTAGCATCTCAATTCAAAAAGTAACAATTCAAATGGTAAAAGATTACTAATTACAACACAATAATTAATTTAAATAACAATACATAATAATTAATTTCAATGACAATACATTACAATCAATTGTATACTACAATTTAAGAATAACATATTGTAAATAATGTCACTTTTGCGACCTCACTCCGTGAACACGAAATTAAGTCCAACTTCTCAGCTACCAAATTTAGTATGTGTATCGTTCGCGTGAGGGGGGTATTGCGAACCAGTTTAGTCCTGCCGCGTGGCATCGCGAGCAAGCTTGGCCGTCGTCGCCGCTATACATACCTATCAGGCACGCATAAGCCTATCCACAAAGATTCTCTATACCTATCCACTGCAGCACACCCGGGTTGCTGATGTAACCACGGAACACCCTTAAAATGTAGATTTAAAATTATTAATTTTTGTTCCGGTCTACACAGTATGAACTTATAGTATCTTGAAGTCTTGCAGTTGTATGCTTGGGTTGGGGTTTGATTTTATTAATTATAGGATCGTCGTCGAAAACCTTAGTTCTCCCGTGGCCATGGGTGCTGTAAAGTTCTCGAAACGTCGTGAATATAAAAAAGTTAATATACGCGATAAAATCCGTAAAAATTAGTTTTATTTAAATGTGTAATGTTCGCGTAAATATGAGAAATCGTTACATATTTATTTTTATAATTATATTTTCCACTCATTTTAAATTTATTTTTATTATTACGAATATTATTAAACTAGCATCTCCATTGAAATTATCACAGCCATACCACATACAGCTTAGTACTTGACCTAAATAAATTAAAATTAATATAAAAATAAAAATTTGCTATTTTTATATCTTAAAACCCTGATTTAGTTAGTACTTAAAAAGTAGTCAATAATAGCACATTTTATTCAAAATCCTCTCTAATATGTAAAAAAGAGCGTTATATTCATTACAAAATAATTTTAAACTACGTTACGGCCGAGGAGGGTTCAATTCAATTTTGAGGTAGCTTACGCTGCTACCAATGCTGCTAGGGTGCCAAGCAAAAAGGTCTAACAATGGTTTTTATTGTGCATAAGTGGGTTTTTATTACCATTATACCAAATTCATAAACTAATATTAAATCGTTAATTTAATATTAAATCGTTTCCGAACGTAAGGGAGCTTACCTCTCCCTTCTTACATTACTTGGGTATTTATATATATTTTTAATTTACACCTTGAATAAGGCCTTGTCGTAACAAAGGCAAGAAGTTAGTGAACGTGGCGGGAGAAGAGACAGCAGAAGACTTTAAACCATTTAAACTTAGTCAGTGGGCACATTGGACACATCTTGATCATACTCTATGGATCTCATAAGTGATCTGAATCAATTTACAAAATTTTATCAACTCCAGAAGTTAATGTGAGATATCAAACTTGATATCTCACAACACCAAAATAAAGACAATAAAAACAAATACACAATGAATTCACCTAACTGAATTCACCTAACTGATAACGAATAAAACGCTTTGAATATTTTTTATTATGAAGAAATGGTACCATCCATAAGCGTTGTATATAATTGTAATGATGATATTATATTTAATTGTATAGTTCAATATAGCCTTTCAAGTGATGTCGGGACTGTCGTGATTTTGCAGTGCATCAGGGATGTAGTACTACGCCAACGTATCATGTCTCTTATGTGCAGAGTGCGAGGGAGCTCCAATACTATCCTGAAGGTTATTAGTGGTAGAATAGAATATTTTTATTCAATATTGATTACAAGTAATTCTTATTGAAGGTCAATATTATACGTTACCACTGGTTAGAAAAAAAACCTCTGTCTTGGGAAGAACCAGCAAACCAGACCGTCCAGTCAAGGACACTTGGTATACATACATGGAAACACTGGATATACACATATGCGTGTATGCCAAGTGCTACAAACTAGCCCGGAAAATATTTAAATTAATGTTTTAGTGTTGTTTTTATTACGTTTTACTAACATTATTTGTAATATCATATTATGTACTAACACTTTTATGAACCAAAAGTCTGAAATAAATTCATTTTATTTTAATTAAATTTTTTT